GTTGATCCGGTGGGACGTCAGGAGGCCGGGGGAAACGCCGGCACAACGCCCCCCCGGCGCGGGTTTTCGTGGGAGGGGAGGGCAAACGTGCAGGGATTAGACCAGGTTGACAAAAAGGAACCCCCCCCCCGCCCCCCCCCCCCCTCCCAGGATGTTTTGTCCCGCCTTTGGGGGGATGGGGGGTCAATGGTTTACCGGATACAACATGATGCGTTAACATCCGCCCCCCCCCCCCCCCCTTGAAGTCCTACTCACCCGTACGTGAAGTACCACAAGGAAACCGCCCCCACCGCCCAAAGGGTCCACCGCAGACTCGCCCAGCTTAGCTGGGTCAGAAGAATCCAGCTTATCGCGGTGCCTACGGCGGGCACCCAGGGGGAAAACGGACCTCGGAATGCCTGGCCACGGTGAGAAAGAGGCACGAGGCGAACGAAACGGCCGGAAAAAGAGAACGCGTGCGAGGAAAACAATCGTTGGTGAGATGTGTAGGGTGTAGGCGTGCCAAGCGACGGCGGTGGGGGTGTCGGCGTCCGAGGTTCTAATCCGTAAAATTGAGCAAAAAGAAGAAAAATACTGCTGGAAAACTGTGCCGAAAGTGTCGTGTGTGCTACAGAGACAAAGGCGGGGGGGTGTACTCATTGTCGTGCATGCCGTAGTCGTTAGACCATTGACCTCGCATCCTTACAGAGCCGGGACGGAGCACACCGGGTTCTCACCGGACCAGGCTCTCACATCACCAAGCGCGAAGCACCGCGAGGTATTCGGCGAGTCGCGTGAAGGGTGCGCTGAGGGGGAGGGGGGGGGAGAAGAGGCAAACTCTGCAAGACCCCACTCATCGCCACGCCACTCTTTGCACTCGCAAGAGGACGGCCTCGATGGAAATTCTGATCTACTGCTACTTCAAATCTCCTGTCGAAATTTACCCTTCCATAGACCTTCGCGAGTACCATATCCGCACCAACACTAGGGCGGCATTCTTGCGGGGCCGCCGTTAACCCCCCCTCCCCTCCCCCAACCTGCAAGGATACGTGAGCTACGAGACATCTGGGGCCAACGATCGACCACGCTTCCCACCGCACCCCCCTCGCCGGTCGCGCACCCACGACAAGCCACCCGGCACAGCATCAAAAGAAGAACAAGTGATGTAACTGTGACAAAAGTGTCGTGTGTGTGCTAGAGCACTATTCTACAGAGAGGGAGGTAGCGGATTCCAGCGAGGAAGTCACCTTACCTCAGGACCGCCTAGCGGGTGCGGCAGTTCCGGACAACAAATCGACAGCGCCAGCGCCACCAGCCCGGCCGCGAGAAACGCCAGCGCCGCCGCCGTCGCCGCCGTCGCCTCCGCTGCCTCCGCCGCGGTGCTACCGCCGCCGCCCCCGCCCCCGCCCCCGTTACCACCTTCCGCCGCCGTCGCCGCAACCGAGAGCGAAACGCGGTCGGCGGCGGCACACGCCACTCGCACCAGCAGGCCACCCGCAAGGCAGAGAGCGTTAAAGAGGAGCACCAGGGGGCGGCAAGGGCCCGGGAAGATTGGGTCGAGGTTGGACCTGTGTAGCGGTTTCGTTGTCGTGGGAACAAAGGCAGGGGGGGGGGCGGGAAGATTGGATCAAGGTTGGATCTGGGTGTAGTAACGGTTTCGTTGGCATGGCGAAGAGGAACAAGGGCAGGGAGAGGGGAGGTACTTGGGGGGGGGTGGGGGGGGCGTACTCTTATGTTTTGCATGCCATAGCGGTTAGACCATTGACCACGGGTGGGGGTGGGGGTGCGAAGCAACAAAAACACCGCAGGTCGTGCGAGAAAAACACGCGTGCCGGCGTGCAGTGTGCGTGTGCTTCCGTCCTGTCCATTCCGGCGGCAGCCTACACCTTCCTGTACACATTTGACGTACCAGCCAGTGTCACAAGAAGAAAACAAAACACTCGACAGACCCCGCCAAAGACAAGTCCAGGGGGAGACACGTTTTCATCGGCCCCCCGTCGCTCCCATTCCGACAAGCGCCTACTGGGTACACCAACGGAAAAGACAAAGACACACACCTTCTGATGACGATGGCGCACGAGTTGGTGATGGCGAAGCACAGCAGCACCCCCGCCGAAACCAGGTCGTCGAGGACGGCGAACGGCGCAAACGTAGCGATCGCCACCATCACCCCTCCCGCCGCAGTCGTTGCCGTCGTCAGCACGCCTCTCTCGTCCGTGGACGCCAAGGACTTGGGCAACAGGCCGTCGCTCGCGAGGACAAACAGCAGCCTAGGTTGAACCTGAAACGTTCATTTCGAGGAGGTGTGACGGTGGGGGGCGGGGGGGGGGGGTGTACTCCATTTCTTGCTCCTCTATCGTCTACACCTATTCTAGAGACGAAGCATATCCAATTTCTAAACCTACAGAACACACACCGCTCTCTCGCGGTCGTATGTTCTTCGCGTGTCTGCCATAATGTGCGTGTAGTGACAAGCAAAAAACAACCGCGGTACGTCGGGACATGTTACTATTACATGTTGGGGAATATGAAGATATTAGTATGTATGGTGGCCAAATCCCGTGACAAGCGAAAATCACCGTGGTGTATTGGGACCCATACTGCTCTGGACCGCAGTACGGTATATTGGGACCACCACTGCCTACAATACGGTGCGGTAACTCACCAGAAAGGATGCCAAGACAACCACCGGCAGGGACACCAGCTCTCCGACGGCCACGATCTGGCACGAACCAACCAACGCCGTTGTTTGTACACACAGCAATCGCCGCCGTGTGGAGAAGAGCCGAGCACAACCGGATGGCAGAGGAGATGTAGCGACACACGTGTTACTGGAATGTAGTCGTTGTTGGATGCGTACTAGTAGACACAATCGACTGCTGCTGTTGGTGGCACAACGGTCGGGATCGTCACTCGAAGGCCTCTCTGAACAGGTCTGCCCAGCACGGAGAAAAAGCCTACAGCCACGAAACCTCAAAACAATTTTTCGGGAGGAAAAAAGTACGGCAAGAATGAATGGTCACAGGAGAATGATATCATCAATAAATCGATCGATGACGTCATGCTAAGTAACACACACATGCACATTGACCGCAACCAACCCACCTGACAGGCCCAGTGCCAACCCCTTGCCGCAAACGCCAACACAAAAGAACTGCTGGCGGCAGACCCGTCCACGGGGACCATGCCCGATAGCGCCAGGGCGGACAGTACGTAGGTGGCGGCGACGATGGCTAGCGTGTAGGCGATGGCGAGGGGGACGTCTCTTCTTGGGTTGATCGACTCTCCCGCCAAGGCGCACACCTTTTTTTTTCGTCCCGCCGTCCGACCACCATGACAACAACGACGACGATCACGACAAGAACGACGGAACGATAACGATGATAATGATAGCGATAGCGACGACAAGGGCGACGATGATCACCACAACGACGGCCACGACGATGGAGGAAAAAAAAAAAAGGCTAGGAGAAGGAAAACAAAACGAAAAAATTAGCAAAAACCCCTCATTCTCATCTCTTGCCCCCGATCCTATCCACCCAACACACACCCAGGATTGATTGCCGGAAAGAGCGCAAACGACTGCAGCAGCAATTCATCCCTTCTCCATCCCCGGCCGCTCGACAAAAAAAAATTTCCGCAATTTCAGCAAACTCTTTTTCGCCCCTACCAATCGTTCCAAGAATACCACACCATTTACAGCCTCCCACCCCCCACCCACCAAACATCCGAAAAACATCACACCAACTACTGCCTCCCACAACCCCCCCCCCAGCCACGGGCCGCAGCCGAACCACTCGCACAACAGCCA